TGGAGTCTCACTCTGTCTCCCAGGCTGGAGTGCAGTGGCACACTCCCGGCCATCACATCCTCGACCTACTGGGCTCAGGTGATGCTTCTGCCTCAGCCTTCCAAGTAGCTGAAACCACAGGTGTGTGCCACCACACTCGGCTAATTTTTCAATTTATTGTAGACGAGGTCTTACCGAATTACCCAGACTGCTCTCGAACCCCTGGCAATCCTCTCACCTCCGCCTCCCAAAGTGCTGGGATTGCAGTAGTGAGCTACCACGCCCAGCCTCTTTTTTCTCAATTTTATCTATTAGATAAGACATCTCTTCTCATTATGTTAGCTTTCATAACATGACTTAAACTGTGGATTTTGCCTCAAGATGCCAATTTGTTGAAGCCATTTGTTTTGTGATTACTTTCTAGTAACTTAAGACAATTTATTTTCCCTTAGTCGTGCAGGCATAGAGGACTCTAAGAAGTGGGGCATGCTGTTTCTGGTGAACCAGTTGTTTAAAATCTACTTTAAGGTAGGCTTCCTCTTGGACACTATGTCTTTATGCCTCTCTGTTCTCCCCGTCCTCCCACGTGTCATCTTGTTTCTGTTAATTATTAGCTAGCCTACCTGCCTTGCTTGGGAAATGATCACAACCACATTCATGGTCCTGACACTTGAATGCTCTATGTGCAAGGCACTATTCCAAATGCTTTATAAGATCTTATTTAAGACTCTGCCCTCTGAGGCCACTCTTCCCAGCTCTGGGGGAAACTGAGGCACCTGCAGAAGAAGCATTGTGCCCTCTGCGGTGGATTCGGGCTTTCAGTGCTATGGTTAAACTCTGGGGCCTTTTGTCCTCTGCTGGGTAAACAGGTGGGTGGTTGGATGGACGGACGGATGCTGAAGAAGTCAAGTCAGCCAGGCAGGTGGGCTGTCCCTTGCACGGCGGCAGCTGGGATTTGCACCTTCTGCCAGGGCCTTCTGCTCCCATGGGACACCCCACCAGCCATGTGTGAGGCCCAAGCACAGCTCCTTGTCAGGTGCTGTTTCAGCTGCCCACAAGGCATCGCCCACTCGGGAGGCTCCAGGGCCTTCCAGGATGGGCTTCAGCTGTGCTGCTAGCTTGTTGTGTTGGTTTTCATTAGAAAACAAGTGATTTTGATGATACAATAGGTTCCGTAGTTTACATTTTGAGGAGAATATGCTTAGTAGAGTTCGTTTGTTCCTCCACCTGACTGTTTTTGCTGTTGTTTTCTAAATGGATTGGTATTCATTATAGATCAACAAACTCCATTTATGCAAACCGCTGATTAGAGCCATCGACAGCTCCAATCTGAAAGACGATTACAGCACTGCACAGAGAGTGACGTATAAGTACTATGTTGGGCGCAAGGCTATGTTTGACAGCGACTTTAAGCAAGGTATGGCGTTGGTCCTTTCCAGTGTTTTAAGCAAGACGCTGTGTTCTGGATAAGCACTGTGTTTTATGATGACGTAAAAGCTATGTGTAAATGGAGTCCAACTTGTATGTATGTATTTTAATACTAAAGTTGGTTAAATGAAGGAAAACTATATTTGACAGGTCCTCCTCCCTCCTGGCCTCTGAAATTCATGTCCGAGTCTTACAGTTATCACAGATATCCCTTCCGAGCTGATTAAGCATGGCTGTTCCCCGAGATCGTGTAGTCGTCTTCTTGCTTTGAGTTTTGACCCTGCGGTGTATGCTGGTTACGTGGCTTAGGATGTGGAGGCTAGGACCACGTTTTGCTCAACTCCTGGCTTACAGCCCCAACGTCCGACATGGACAGGATGTAGCACGCAGTGGGTGTGCCCCGTGTCACACTTGTGGTTTTGGAGCGGCCTCATGTGGAGTGCTGTTGCCCCGCCAGCGCTGGGTTTCCTGGAGCCACATTATTATCTACATTCTTATATACATTGTGAACCTTGTCCAGAACATGAACCAGGCTTTTCCTTTCATGCTTTTTGATGGGTTGGCATGGGATGGTTCTTCCTGGTGTCTTCTGTTGTGCTCACCCCGACTTTTTGAGCTCCCTTTGTCAGCTGTTTGTTGAGCACATGGAGTGGGTGGCTTCAGGCAGGCTGAGGCGTGTGGAACGCCCCCCTCTGTGCGTGGCAGCCGTGGGCACTCCAGGGGCAGAGCAGCTGCTCTCATGAGACGGCTCCAGGCCTGACGCTATGAGCTTGCGCGGACTGACTTCTTGTTTTCTTTCAACAGATTCTTTTTTTTTTTTTTTTTTTTTTGAGTTGGAGTCTCACTCTGTCGCCCAGACTGGAGTGCAGTGGCCGCTCCCGGCCACCACAACCTCGCCTGCTGGGCTCCGGCGATCCTTCCGCCTCAGCCTTCCAAGTAGCTGGAATTACAGGCATGCGCTACCACGCCCTGCTGATTTTTTGATTTATTGTAGAAATGAGGTCTCGCTGCCCAGGCGGGTCTCGAACCCGCGGGCTCAGGCAATCCACTCACCTCAGCCTCCCAAAGGCGCGGGATGACAGGCTGAGCCACCGAGCCCGGCTTCAACAGATTCTTAGCAGATCTAGGGCTGCTAAAGACGGCCTTTCTGGGTCGTTTCTCTCATCTGGCTTTTTTTCCTTAAATTACGAGGCATAAGGGTAGAAGCTTTAAAATTAGATTCTGCTGAATTCGACAAAGGTCTTAAGGTGTTTGCCTCTGAGGACGGAGTGAGTGGAAATTTTGAAAACCAGATGTAGTGATGATTTATTATTGATGCTATATAGTCACAGTCTCTGGAGCCTTTAAGCTAGAAAGTTCCTTCAGGACTATATCTTCCAGCCTTTTCATTTTACTGTTAAAGGCGCCGAAAACCATGGCGGTTGTGATGTGCCGAAATTGCTGAGCTGTTGTGTCCCTGAAAGGCCAGCACTGCCCTTGGGCCTTCTAGTCACATGCAGTGATTTTGGTTTCCGGTTTCCGTTTTCCTGCTAGGGATTCCTAGAAGTAAACTGTGTTTAAGTGGATCAATGTCTGCAAATTCTGTGGGGATTTTAATTATTTTGTGTGGTTTTATATTGTTTGTATAAGAGAACATTTGCAGTGGCTTTGTTATCTGTGATATGTTTTTATGTACGTATGTAGGTATGTATTTAGAGTTGGAATCTCACTCTGTTTCCCAGGCTGGAGGGCAGTGGCACACTCACAGACACCGCAGCCTCGACCTGCTGGGCTCAGGCAATCCTCCCACCTCAGCCTTCCAAGTAGCTGGAATTGCAGGCATGAGCCACCACACCCGGCTGATTTTTTCATTTATTGTAGAGATGAGGTCTCGCCAAGTTGCCCAGGCTGGTCTCAAATCCCTGGCTCAAGCAATCCTCTCACCTCGGCCTCCCGAAAGGCTGGGATTATAGGGATGAGCCACTGCGCCTGGCCAATACGCTTTTATTTATTCATTTCAGATGTTCATAACCCTCTAGCATTTTTGACTCCATCCAAAATACATAGTTTGATGCAATATGTCTAAAGTCACCTCAAACATCGCGGAAAATCGCAGCCTGCATCCACTATTAGGAGTGTGTTTTGTACGTCAAGGGAATTCTCATGAGAAGGGCTCTGGATTTGACTCTGTGGCTGTACACGGACTGACTTCTCACTTTCTTTCACAGGACTTTTAGTAGATCTGGGGCTTTTAAGGGAGACTTTTCTTGGTCTTTTTTCACATTTGGGCTTTTTTCCTTAAAATACAGACCGCCAAGCCCTTGTCCCACGAACCCGTGCAGCGCGTGTCAGACTTCGTGCCCTTGGGCAGCAGTCTGGGAGCACGTCTCAGGGCCAGCTTGCAGACAAGGCGCTCCGGCAGGCTGGGGTGCGGCTGACTTCCTGCCAGGTCCTCGGCTCCACGGGTTCTGGGTGGGGTGCGGCTCTGGGGGTGGGAGAGGCACTCTCGCCCGTGGCGGCCACACGCTCGCTCGTGTGAGACGAATGTGTATTTGGTGAGTGCGGCCATCCGGCCTGGGGCAGGGCTGTGACTCTCAGCGTGGGTTCCCTTGGCCCCTGGGCCCCACGATGCTGCCTCCAGTGGCCGGGCTGCCTACGGGGGCCCGCACGTCGGAAGTCTCCGTTCCCTTGTGCTGGGGATGCCCTGGCACTCGGGAGGGCCCTGGCACGCACGCACACTCCACTCTCCTGGTTTTCCAACCAGATCCGCGCTGGCAAAGCCTCTTCTCCACACCTGGGGGAAGCAGAATCAGTGTCCGGAACCCTAGCCCTCTCTGCCTTCAGGTTCAGATCTCAGGAAACCCCTCGCTTCCCCCCAACCCCCCTCCTGAGAGCATCTCATGGTGCCTGTTAGACCCTTCCCGGTCTGCCCGTGCAGCATGGAGGGTTAATCTCGGCAAATCAAACCCTTTTCTTTTTTTGAGTCGGAGTCTCCCTGTGTCGCCCAGGCTGAAGTGTAGTGGCACGCTCCCGGCCACCGCAACCTCGACATGCTGGGCTCCGGCGATCTTTCCGCCTCGGCCTTCCAAGTAGCCGGAACTACAGGCACGCGCCACCACGCCCGGCTAATTTTTTGATTTGTTGTGGAGATGAGGTCTCGCCAAGTTGCCCTGGAGGGTCTTGAATCTGTGGTCTCGGGCAGTCCTCTCACCTCAGCCTCCCAAAGTGCTGGGATTATAGGCGTGAGCTACCGTGCCCAGCTCGTTTTTATATTTTGAAATCTATTAAATTCAAATTAGTTTTATATGAAGTAGAATCGCTTTTCCTTTTTTATTGCTGATAGGACAGAACTGATATATGAGGGGATGCCCCCCAAAACTGGAATTTATTTATTTCAAAAATGGTGTATTTGCATTTTTAAAATTCAGTCCCTTGCAAAGCACTCTCTGTTGGATGCAACACACCTGTTGAAACATTTTTTCCACTAAAAAGTTTTTTAACTCATCAATTTTGATGCCTTTTAGTGCTTCTGCTGTTTTTTGTTTCACCTCTTCCACATCATCAAAACATTTCCCTTTGAGAACTTTTTCACCCAGGGAAACAAAAAAAAGTGACTTGGGGTGAGATCACATGAATGGGGAGGGTGAGTCATGGGGGGCCATGTTGCTTTTGGTCAAAAAATGTTGAACACTCAGCGCGTTGTGGGCAGGTGCATTGTCATGATGGGAGAACCAGTCACCTGTTTGCCACAACTCATGATTTTTCTTCTGCAAATCGTGACATAACCTTCTCAAAACTTCCAGACAAAAATAGTTGGCCATTTTATCCCGAGGAACAAGTTCTGAGTGTACGACAAGGGTCCTGCTCGCCAAAAGATAATTCTGTGTTTTGGGGGGGTTCCTCCTCATACTACAAGCTTAATGAGATAGTTTTCTGAAGCATATGGTTATTTTAAGTGGAGGGGACATGATCACTGCATTCCATGTTAAGCTGGAGGGTGGTGCTTCTCAAAGCTGTTTGTGTTCTGTTTAATAATGTATGCTTAAAACATATCGTGGAGGTATGTCTTTTCGCATGGCTTGTATTTTCCATGAATGTGGATGCCATTTGAGCAGGGCGGATGTTTAAAGCACAGTCATGGTGGCTCACCAGGTGACCTTGGGCATAAAAGCCGAATGGAAGCCAGTTCCCTCTGTTTTTCCTCTGGGAGTAGGAGTTCCCACGCAGTTCTTGTTGAGTTTGGGGCCTGGCTTTTACTTAAGAAAAATCACTGATCTCAGAAATGCCACTGGCTGCTGTGTTTGAGATAACAAAGGGAGAAGGTGGTGCCTTTTGTGTGAGGATAAAGTAGAGGAATGCAGAGCTGGAGGGACTGAGGGACTGCGGGCGGGGAAGGGACCTGCGGGCTGGCTGGGGACCGGGCGCTGTCTGCTGACATGTGTGTCTTGCAGCCGAGGAGTACCTGTCCTTTGCCTTTGCACACTGTCACCGCTCCAGCCAGAAGAACAAAAGGATGATTCTGATCTATCTGCTTCCGGTGAAGATGCTGCTGGTGAGTGGTGCCGCTCGGAGGCCTCGGGTGGCCTGAGCCGCTGGTCTCCGTGGCCAGTGCGTCCCGATCCTTCTAGAAAAGCGTTGGTCTGCTTAAAAGCTAATTCAAAACTTTAACACTGATGGCAAATAGAACAAGGGTGCATGATTTATATTTCTCCCTAGAACCCTAAATTTATAACAGTGGATCAACTAAGAAGGATTGCCTGAGCCGGGGGTTCGAGACCCGCCTGGGCAACTTGGCGAGAACTCATCTCTACAATAAATCAAAAAATCAGCCGGGCGTGGTAGCACGTGCCTGTAGTTCCAGCTACTTG